ACGCGCCCCAGGCCTGGCCTTCTGCTCATGACCAGGGCTGAGAGAATGGTTTGGTAAGATTCCTCCCAGGGGCCCCCTGGAAACTAAGAGCAGGAGAAGAGCCGGCCTGCATCCATCTCCCATCCATCCCCTTCGCTCTGCGCTCTTCCCGCCCATGCTCCCCTCGGACCCCAGAGACAACAGGACTATCGGGTAAACGTTTTCAGGATAAGGGACACCCCCTGTACGGTAAACATCTTCAGGATAAAGGACACCCCCCCATACACACACACAACAGCCACAACAATGTCTCCACAATCCCTGGTGGAAACAAAGCCGAGATACCCACACTCTCCACCCTCCTCTGCCTCCCTTTCTGTAAAGCCTGCAAGTCTCCTGAGCGCGAAGATGGACTGGGGGCCACATATGAATCACCCCGCCTTCGTGCAGGCACTAGGGCTTCCGCTCAGACCCTGCGCGCTTACTTTTCACTCAAAGCTGGCACTCTGCACCTGAGCCCACCTCCACGTCTGGCTTTTTTCTTTCTGAGATCTGAGGATCTTGATTTGAAACCGACCTGAGTGGACAAATCCAAGAGACTTTGCAATTAACCAGAAAAAAAATCTAAATGGAAGTGTGGCTCAAGTGGCAAAGCACCAGCTCTGGGTGAAAAGGCAAAGGAACAGCACCTAGGCCCTGACTTCCAGCCCCAATACTGGCCTGTGCACAATGCACCCCACCTGCCGGCCGCCCGCTTTGAAAATACATGGCCACAGAACCTCCTAATTCTCCAGCAGAGCTACCCTTCCAAGGCACCTGGAGGGGCCAGGTGTTGCCCTTTGTGTAACTGGGTTCTGAAACTTCCATGCCGGGCGGGAAGCTGACCACATCCTCCTATTTCTGGCAGGACAGGTGAAATCCAGCAGCCCATGGCCCCCCCCCCCCCCCCCGCAGGTGCATGCTGGGAGACCAGCCCGCTTCTATACCAGGAAGCAGAACTGGAGTGTGGTAGCCATGTGTGGCTTGTATCTCAAAGACCCTCCAGAGATGGATTCCTGTCTGACCTCAGGTGAAACCTCTGGGCTGGGAGGCGGCTCAGCAGTGGAGCGCTTGCCCGGCATGTCTGAAGCCTGGGCCGATTCCTCAGCACCACATACATAGAAAAAGCCGGGAGTGATGCTGTGGCCCGAGTAGTAGAGTGCTATCCTGGAGCAGGAGAAGCTCAGGGACAGCGCCCAGGCCGAGTTCAAGCCCCAGGACTGGCCACACAACAAAAACCCAAAACAAAACAGGTGCATCCACTAACAGCACTTCCTTCCTTCCATGACAGTGGGCTGAGGGGCATGTTGACAGGCCCCATGCTGGAGTCTCTTCACCCAGGACAAAATCTCACTGTATTTGTTAAATGTCTATAAACTATGAACGGACAGTGAATGCACTGCCTTTTTTTTTTTTGGTTGGTTGCGGGGCCTGAACTCTGGGCCTGGGCGCTGTCCCTCAGCTCTTCAGCTCAAGGCTAGTGCTTACCACTTGAGCCACAGTTCCACTTCTGGCTTTTTTCTTTTTGCTTATGTGGTGCTGAGGAATCGAACCCAGGGCCTCCTGCATGCGAGGCGAGCGCTCTACCACTGAGCCACCTCCCCAGCCCTGCACTGCCTTTCTAAAGCACTCATAGAGCAGCAGGCAGAGTCAGGCATGAGGAAGGTGTGTAAGGCAGCCAGATCTTGCATTCGGGAGTGTACACCAGGTGTGGACCATATACAGACGGGACTACGAGTCAGACACTCCTGACCTCACACCCCGGGTGAGAGCCAAGGCTGTCTTGGGCCCCTCGGAGGCACAGAGCTGGACTGCGGCTGGAGGGTGGAGGCTGGCTGCCTCATGAGTTAGCGGAAGCTGCGTCTTTGCCATGAAGGCGTTGCCTGCACGGGGCCTGGCAGTCCCTGCGAGCCTGCGGTTCCCATCTCCGACTTCCCCACTCAGAACGGGGTTTGCAGCTGCACCAGCACTGCCCTCTCCGCGGACCTCCGCGGAAGGAGCCGGTGGAGTGGATCCGTAGGTCTCTACTCACAGCTCCTACCAAACACTACCGCCCGATCCACCTGTGGTAACCCGTCCACGAAAACCACTGGCCAGCGTGCGCCCTCTACCAGGTGAGGACGCTTCACCCTAACAGGTGAGGTAAAGCTGAGAAGTTCCACAGAGCTCAGGACTTCAAAACAGATCTAAGCCAGGACCTAGCTGTGCTTCCAGGGCTCAGCTACTGGTGCCCCGGGGGAGGTGAGCAAGGCCTGTGCGCCAGGGTACGGAGCACGCCACACAGGAGGAGCTGGTGCTCGAGGTCCTCCATGACTGGGAAGTTCTGAGCACTAGACCTGCGCGCTGCCCCCCTTACCTCCCCCCCCCCCCCCGCCCCACAGGGCACCCGAGCATCTGACGGCGGAGGGAGGAGCAGGCAGAGTCAGGCTGGTCCACTATTTGTAGGAAAGTTTTCTTACGCATGGCGGGGGGGGGGGGGGGGATTCATGCAAGTCAAACTGTTTCCCTGGCTGGGCACTGGGGGCCCACATGTATTCCATGTGAAACATGTTAGCCAGCAACAAAACAAGCAAAGACCACACAGGAAACCACAGACCCATACTGATTCTGCTGGACAATACATACAAAATTCCTTCCTTCCCTCCCTCCTTCCTTCTTTGGCTGGGGGTATACCTCAAATGGTAGAATGCCTGCTGAGTAAGCACAAGGCCAGTAACGCCCAAAACAGAACAAAATATCTTTCCTTCCTTTCCCCTTCCTTTCCCTTCTGCTCCTTCCCTTTTCTTTTCTTCCCTTCCCTTTTTTTCCTTCCTTCTCCTTCTCTCTCAGGGTCTTGTCTGGTGTCCAGGCTGGCCTTGCCTGAGTCTTTTGCATAGCTGGGATCATCACAGAGGGAGACAACTTTAGCAAAGCAGATCTGACAGTGCACAAAGGGACAGTGGACCGTAACCAAGTAAGGTGAAGCCTGTTTCATACACACACACACACACACACACACACACACACACACACACACACACACGGAAAAAGAATCACTGCCTCATTAATAGATTTAAAAAGCATAGGATCACATGAACTGATACGGGAAAAGCACCTGACAGGGAACCCCACCCGCCCCCAGGGACGGAAGTGAGCTTTCCCACAGGTAACTGGTGGCGGGGACCGACCCCCAGAGACATCACGCTAAGGGCAAAAGCCCAGGTGAGCTTGGGCATGGTGGAGCCTCACAGATGCCACGGATCAAAGCGCCGCTCCCAGGTTAGCTCATGGTGGGCAGGCTGCCTGGGGTCACAGGGCCTCCTGGTCAGAAAGCCAGGACCAAAGCCCTGGGGGATGGCCACCGCCGATCCCCCCGAGCTCCCGTGGTGTGGGTTGGGGCAGCCCTGTGTGCTGTGGTGGTGGGGCGGAGGCTCTGACCCATGGCGGCCAGCAGCCAGGGGTGCTCTCCAGCCCTCGTGGCCAGCCATGGAGACTCAAGTCTCCGTCTCCTTGTACTTCAGGCTCGCACTCCAGCACTTGAGCTACAGCACCGCGTTCAGCCTTTTCTATGATTAATCGGCAATAAGAATCTCACCAACTCTCTTGTCCAGGCTGGTTTTGATCCGCTATCCTCAGATCTCAGCCTTCCGAGTAGCTAGGATTGCAGGTGTGAGCCACCGGTGCTCGGCGGCATCTCCCAAGTGTGTCTTTTGCTTTTGAGAGTTTTTGACTTTATTATTCCTTCACTTGATTGCCCCAAGATGTCTGCCGGGGTTGGCTTGCGTATTTTGAGTGTCCACATGACGCCTTGCCGGTACCCCTCCGGCAGGGCTCACTTCCTGTCATCCAAAGTCAGCACACTTTTCTCCATTTAGTCTGATGATTTTTTTCTTCTGAACTTCAACTTGAAGGCAGCAGAGGGCGTCTGACTACACCAAAGATAGCTTAAAATGTACAAAATGTCCAGAAATGCGACCTGCACTAAAATAAGAAGCCGTACTCCATCTTTTTACTATTTCAGGTCTTAGATGTTCTAGCCCAGGTCTCTCTTGATAACGAGCATTTCCACCTCACACACATCACTGCAACACGGATAATTCAAGGGCTTTCCAATTCAGCTTCAAGATCCTTCAGATACTAAAAATAAGAAACACTGCCCACTCCAGAGCTGTCTTGTTGAAGAACAAGGATGAGCCTCCACTTCTACAGCTCTCCAGAGGGAGCCTGCCTTGTGCTGCAGATCCATGGGCTGACTGAAGGCCATCTGGAGTCCAGTGCTCGGCCTCAGAGCAACCCAGTTTTCTCTGATAAGTAGAAAAGGATTAGGCATGTTCTTGAACAGCCCTGAGACCTTTGTACTTCCTCTTAGATGATATTGTCTGGGGACTTAGCCAGGTTTTTCTGGTGAACTTTACAGTTCCTTTCTGATCAACTTCTAACTTGTTCTCCTCCTCCTCTTCCTCCTCCTCCTCTTCCTCCTCCTCCTCTACTTCCTCCTCCTCCCCTACTTCCTCCTCCTCTTCCTCCTCCCCCCCCCCCCCCCCCCGTACTTCTTCTTCTTCCTCCTCCTCCTCCTCCTCTTCTCTCATACTCTACAAGCAGCACTGGAGAGAATAGAAACCTCCAGTTCTGTTTTTCTTTTCATTGTTTCTCCCTACTTAAAGTTTCTTCGCAAAGAACTAGGTTTATAAGCACAGCACCGGTGGCTCACGCCTGTCATCCCAGCTACTCAGGAGGCTGAGATCTGAGGATTGAGGTTCAAAGCCAGCCCGGGCAGGAACGTCTGTGAGACTCTGATATCCAATTAACCCAGGAAACCGGAAGTGGTGCTGCGGCTCAGAGCTGAGGGACAGCGCCCAGGCCCAGAGTTCAGGCCCCACGAGCGGCTCACATCGGTGGGCCCGCAGGCGGAGCGGCCCGGGCGTCTGGGTGGGACGCCGCCCCCCAGCGTGGGGGCTGCGGTCGCGGCGCAGCAGCCAGCAGTGGGGTCCGGGCTCTGGGGAGGGTGGGGAGCGCTGGGGGCGAGCACGGCCCGAGCTGGGCCCTCGGCAGCGCGTGCGCCTGCGCCTGCGCACCGGCCTCCTCCAAGGCTGCTTCCTGGCAGCGGCCCCGTCACCTCGATTACCGGAGAGGAGGCCAGACCCAGAGCACCGTCGCCCGCGGCCGGGAGCTGGGTGGCGACATCAGCGACGTCACCGGCCGGCCTGCCCTGGAGGAAGGTGACGTCACCGGCCGGCCTGCCGTGAAGGAGGGCGACGTCACCGGCCCGTTCTGCCGGCGGAGACACTCAGGTCCGCGGTGCGAGCGCTGTCCGGCCCCCCGCGTTGGGAAGCGGCGGGGTCCGCGCCGTGGCCGGAGGGGAGCGGCAGGGAGCGGCAGGGAACCAGGCCACCGCGCGCAGCCGCTCGGCGACCCGCTCAGGGGCGGGGCGGGGCCCTCGGGGGCGGGGCCCTCGGGGGCGGGGCCCTCGGGGGCGGGGCCCTCGGGGGCGGGGCCCTCGGGGGCGGGGCCCTCGGGGGCGGGGCCCTCGGGGGGGCGGGGCCCTCGGGGGGGCGGGGCCCTCGGGGGGGCGGGGCCCTCGGGGGGGCGGGGCCCTCGGGGGCGGGGGCCTCGGGGGCGGGGCCCTCGGGGGCGGGGCCCTCGGGGGCGGGGCCCTCGGGGGCGGGGCCCTCGGGGGCGGGGCCCTCGGGGGCGGGGCCCTCGGGGGCGGGGCCCTCGGGGGCGGGGCCCTCGGGGGCGGGGCCCTCGGGGGCGGGGCCCTCGGGGGCGGGGGCGGGCGCGTGTAGCCCGCGCCGGAAGTCGCGGGGGGAAGTGACGCATTCCGCTCGGCCGGGCGTCGAGCCGCGCTCCCTCTGTGGCCCCGCAGCCGTGCGCGCCCGGCGCCATGGGCAAAAAGGGCAAGAAGGAGAAGAAGGGCCGCGGCGCCGAGAAGACGGCCGCCAAGATGGAGAAGAAGGCGTCCAGGCGCTCGCGGAAGGAGGAGGTGAGGCGCCGGGCCGCGGCCCCCGTCGTGTTGTCACGTGCCGGCCCGGGGCTTGAACTCAGGACCTGGGCGCTGCCCCTGAGCCTCTCGGGCTCACCGCAGCGCCACGTCGGGCCTTTTCGGAGCAGTTTGTGTTCACGGACTGTCCTGCTGGGCTGGCTTCGAACCGCGATCCTCAGATCTCGGCCTCCTGAGTAGCTGGGATTACCGGCGCCCGGCTTACTACTACTACTACTACTATTACTACTGCTGCTGCTGCTATTTTGTTTTTGTTTTTTCGGCGGGGGGGGGGGTGGGTTGGTTGGTCGTGGGGCCTGAACTCTGGGCCTGGGCGCTGTCCCCAGGTCTATAGGTCAAGGCGAGCGCTCTACCCCTGAGCCACCTTCCCAGCCCTACTACTACTATTTTGCGTCAGCCCTGGAGCTTGAACCTAGGGCCAAGACGCTGTCCCTTTTTTTTTTTCTCCAGACTAACTGTACCATGTGACCCACAGCTCCACTTTTGGCTTTTTGCTTTTTAATTGGAGATGAGAGTCTCATGAACTTACCTGTCCTAACTGGCTTCCAATCTCAATCCTCAGATCTCAGCATCCTGAGTAGAGGATTACAGGTGTGAGCCACTAGCTCCTGGTTGAATACCTTTTTTAATGAGTCACACTCTATGTATTCAAACCTAGCCAGAGTGTTAGGATTCGTGAGCAGATTCCTGTGCAGTGAGACTTGCAGGGGAGGAAAGCTGGCCTGTTGCAGTTTTAGAATGAGTCTCACTTGCAGCTGCTTGTGTGCTCCTAGGAAGACCTGGAAGCTCTCATAGCCCATTTCCAGACGCTGGATGCCAAGAAGACCCAGGTCACTGAGACCCCCTGCCCCCCACCGTCTCCACGGTAAGCCAGCAGACCCCTTGTCTCTCCTAGTTTCTGTTCCATTTGTTTCTATAAGTTGCAAAGCTGTGTGACATCAGGGCTATGCCTCCTGAATGACCATTTTCCTCACCTGAGTGCAGGAAGAGGTCTGGAGGTGAGGTCTAGGTATAAGATTTCTTCATTCCTGGGGACATTTGCAGGCCCCAAGCTAAGTGTCTCATAAATGTGCTCTCCAAGAACCATTGGAGTCACAATAGATATGAAAATAAGGAATTGTCTCAGCAATGCAAAATTTACTTCTGCAAAAGGGTGTGACTCCATCAGCCAAGCAAGCACACAGAACAGGCAGGCTGTGTCCCTGTTTATCTCTAACACAGCTAGCCCTGCCCCTCTGAGCTCAGGTTTACAGTCTGCTCGAGATTGGCAGATTTGAATAGGGTAAAATGTATATCCAGAAAGTAACTTTGGAATAAGATTTAACAGTACAAGCTGGGCACTGGTGGCTCACGCCTGTAACCCTACCTACCCAGGAGGCTAAGATCTGAGGATTATGGTTGGTTGAAGGCCACCCTGAGCAGAAAAGTCCCCATGAGACTCATCTCCAATTAACTACTCAAAAGCTAGAAGTATGGCTGTGGCTCAAAGTGATAAAGTGCTAGCCTTGAGCAGAAGAGCTCAGTGACAGTGCCCAGGCCCTAAGTTCAAGCTCCACAACTGGAAAAAAAAAAAAAAGAAAAAAAAAAAGATTGACAGTACATAAGTAATTTAAAAATGTACTTGTATCCTCTATTTCTGATGTTTGTCTTCTGAGGTGTGTCTTAATTCCATCTTGGAAAAAATAGTTAAGACAAAACTTTACTTTTCAAAACTACTTGCTTATCCCAGAGTAGTTCCTCTTTTGCTTTCAGGCCAAAGAGAGAACTTTCTAGCAACCCATTATGATGGAAAAGACAGTTTTTCTCACACCTGGGATTATGAACTGCTGGAGGCTGCAGTGTGGTTCTTGGGCCTCTTTCACAGAGGTGTGGGAGGGCCTCATCTCCTGTGGAAGCTACACTGGTACAGGGAGTCTGGCATGTAACTGTGCACTTATCTGCTGCTTGTGTCTTTCAGGTTAAACGCCTCCCTCTCCGTCCATCCAGAGAAAGATGAATTAATCCTTTTCGGAGGTGAATATTTCAATGGCCAAAAAGTAAAGTATATATATTTTCTCTTTTTCTTTTTTTCTGGGCCTCATTCAAAGCAAGAGTTATTTTAAAGTTGTCATAGGACTGCACGCCGCTCCTTCTGCTCCCCCTATGTAGCCCACCTTTCAAGCATCAGGCTATGGGTGTTGATGATCCTTGCAGGACCCTCAGATACTGAGCGGCCCTGCAGCCACTGTTCAGCAAGGGCCTCATCTGAGTGCCGGAACTCAGCTCTCCTCCTTGGTCATTGCTGCTGATGGTTGACCTGTGGTCTGCCCACTGCCTTGGTTGCCGTGCCTTGATTCCTCATGGCATTCATGATTCACGTTTACAGTTATCTTGCTTTGTTCTGTGGTGCTGGAGATCCATCCCAGGGCCTTGCACACGCTAGGGGATGGGTGTTCTGCCACTGAGGGTGCACCCCAGTCCTCAAGGTAATGTTGAATAAAGAAAATACTGACAATTGTGAAGTCAATTTTTACTTTTGAGCAGGCCAAAAAGCTCTTGTTTTGAAATTGCATGTGGCAGTCAATTAAAAAGGGTTGATTTAGGGGCTGGGAAGGTGGCTCAGTGGTAGAGTGCTTGCCTTGCATGCACGAGGCCCTGAGTTCTATTCCTTAAGAACCACATAAGCAGAAAAAGCCAGAAGTGGTGCTGTGGCTCAAGTGGTAGAGTGCTTGCCTTGAGCTGAAGAGCTGAGTGACAGTGCCCAGGCCCAGAGTTCAGGCCCCACAATTGACAATTAAAAAAAAAAAAAAAAGGTTGGTCTAGCTGGGCACCGGTGGCTCACGCCTATAATCCTCAGAAGGCAGGAAAGTCTGTGAGACTCTGATCTCCAATTAAGATTACTGAAATATCCTGAAGTAGAGCTGTGGCTCCAGTGGTAGATTGCTAGCCTTGAGCAAAAGTAGCTCAGGAACAGCTTCCAGGTCCAGAGTTCAAACCTCAGGATCAACAACAACAATAAAAAGCAAAGAAAAAAGAAAAAAAGAGACTTAAAATCAAAAGAGCAGGGGCTGGGAAGGTGGCTCAATGGTAGAGCGCTTGCCTTGCATGCCTGAGGCCCTGGGTTCGATTCCTCAGCACTACATACGCAAAAAGAAAAAAGCCGGAAGTGGCGCTGTGGCTCAAGTGGTAGAGTGCTAGCCCTGAGTTGAGGAGCTGAGGGACAGCCCAGGCCCAGAGTTCAGGCCCCACGACCGGACTCAACAAAAAGAAAAAAAAATCAAAAGAGCAGTGAAATCACTGCTTATTCCTGACTTGTTGAGATGGAATCTTAACTTTTTGCTGAGGTGGGCCTCACACGTCATCCTTCTAATTTCCAACTAGCTGGGGTTACAGGTATGAGGCACTGTGCTTGGCCTTGACTTAAAGTGGTGTGATTCCTGGGGAATTCTGATAGCTGGGCACAGTCTCATCAATGTTGTTACTTGTCTGCATATCTTTCATGACATTGATGTTCCTCTTTCTTCTTGCAGACTTTTGTATACAACGATCTCTATGTCTACAATACCAGAAAAAACACTTGGACCAGTGTTGACATCCCTGGTCCACCTCCGCGGCGCTGTGCTCACCAGGTGATGGCAGTACGGCCCTCACCCGCTCCCTGAGTCACAGAGGCTGGCCTAGGGCTGGCGTTGGCTCTGCTTTGCTAAGTGTCTTTGGTTGTGTTTCTCATCTGCTGTCTGGGAGGAGGATACGACATACTCTGTGGAAGTACCTCTGGTCTCTAATGTGTCACAGCGTCTCAGCAGAATGCTGCTTTCCACTCCACTTGAGAGAGGGGACTCCCAGGGTGTGGCATGTTCAGGAAAGGGGCAAATGGTGGAAGGAAAGGAATTATTCTAGAAGAAAGTTAGCCGAGCTAGCTGGTTTCTGCTGACAGGAAGAGCGTCGTCAAGCTCTGTGCCTCTCAGGTGCTCCCTGAGCTCCATAAGATGAGGGCCTGTCCCCTCCTACCACCATAGTCCTGAGCCCAGAACAGCTGGTTCCTCATCCTGGGAGGAAAATCCTTGAGACTCTTATCTCCAGTTAGCCACCAAAAGCCAGAAAAGGAGGTGTGGTTCAAGTGGTAGAGCACCAGTCTTGACGAAGAACGTGTAGGCCTTGAGTTCAAGCCCCAGTACCTTTCCTTCCACTGGCTGTGGTGGGCCCTCAGGTCAGTGAGGATGGTGCTGGTCACCCAGGGCCCTGTGCTGCTATGTGGTTGACGTGTCCTTTCCTTCCACAGGCTGTGGTGGTGCCTCAGGGCGGTGGGCAGCTGTGGGTCTTTGGAGGGGAATTTGCATCTCCTGATGGGGAACAGTTCTACCACTACAGGGATCTCTGGGTCCTGCATTTGGCCACCAGGACTTGGGAGCAAGTCAGGTAAGATGCTTGTGCTCCTGTGCTGTGTTCTGAGTTGAGTCAGGAGCAGGGTGGGAAGGCCTGGCTGTACTCTTTGAGAGTTGCTTCGTGGGCCGCTGGAGGGCTTCACTGGGAAGCCTGGTCAGCAGGCACTGACCGTGTGATGTCGGGGGTACCTGGTCAGCGAGTGCTGGCCGCATGGAGTGGGGGGGTGGCAAGGAGGAGCTGGGCCACGGTGCTTTGCGCAGGATGACCTCGGGTGTCCCGGGGCAGCTCAAGCCTGCTGGGAATGGAGCTGCTCCCATGCTGTGCTCCTCGGTGTCGGTTGTTGGAGAGGTGGTGGGGCTGCTCAGAAGGAGGGAGCTTGTTAAAAACAACTTTTAAAATTAGCATGCATTGGTTGCACGGGGAGTTTCCTGTGACATTTCTATACGTTATATGGTGTTTTCCCCAAACTCATCCTGCCACTCTTTACCCCTTCTAAACACTTTCAGTAGACTTCATTGTTCTCCTTTCTTTTTTTTTTTCTTTTCTTTTTTTGTCGGTCATGGGGCCTGGGTGCTGTCCCACAGCTCTTCAGCTCAAGGCTAGCGCTCTACCACTTGAGCCACAGTACCACTTCTGGCCTTTTCTGTGTATGTGTTGCTGAGGAATCGAACCCAGGGCCTTATGCATGCGAGGCAAGCATTCTACCTCTGAGCCATCTTCCCAGCCCCATTGTTCTCTTTTCTTCCCTCTCCCCTCCGTCCCTCCCTCCCTTCCTTTCTTCCTTCCTCCTGGTCCTAGGGCTTGAACTCAGCCTGGGCACTGTCCCTGAGCTGCTTTTGCTCAAGGCAAGCATTCTACCACTTGAGCCATAACACCATATCCAGCTTTTTTGAGTATTTATTGGAGGTAAGAGTCTCGTGGAGTTTCTTGCCTGGGCTGGCTTTGAACCACGATCCTCAAATCTCAGCCTCCTGAGTAGCTGGGATGACAGGCGTGAGCCACTGGCCCCGCTCATTGTTCTGTATTCTGTGCAGTAAACTACTTCAACCATCTTCATCCTATCCTCCGCTCACGCTCACCCTCATCTCCCGCTCTACCAACAGGAGGCTTGCAGCTCCTGGTGCTGATGTGGCTGCTGCTGCTGCCTGCCTCAGTGTCCCCAAGTGAGCAAGCTGAAGCTGCATACCGGTCCTCTGCTGGGAGGCGGCTCGTAGATTCCTATGCAAGTGACTTGGGAGAGAAGCTGGCAGGTCCATGCACTGGAAGTAGTGCAGTGGCTGCCCTCCTGAGTGAACAGGAACAGGCCTGACTTCTTGATAGACCTGTGGCCGGGCAGCCTTTAGGATCCATGCGTTCATTTTGGTCTTACTGGTACTTAAAAACAGACGTTCAGGGCTGGGCGCTTGCCTTGCATGCCTGAGGCCCTGGGTTCGATTCCTCAGCACCACATAAGCAAAAAGAAAAAAGCTGGAAGTGGCGCTGTGGCTTAAGTGGTAGAGCGCTAGCCTTGAGCTGACGAGCTGAAGGACAGTGCCCAGGCCAAGAGTTCAGGCCCCACGACCGGACCCAAAAAACAAAACAAAAAAAAAAACCAGACATTCAGAACCATCCAGGGTTTGTCTAGAAGGGTGGGTGGCCCTGTGTGTTCCAGAGTGGTTCTCAGGCTTTCAGGGTAGCACCCAAGGCTGCTGCTTCTGGGCCCCTCTCTCCATGGATCTAAAGGAAAGACACATCAGCCTCTCTGAAGACCGTTTGATGTTTTGCCATCTTTAGACAGGATTGCTCTGCTGTGTGTGCGATCAGGTTGGTGAGAAGTTTATGGAGCACTGAGAGGCTCAAGTTCTTTGTAGAAGGGAATTTATTTATTTTGTTGTCGTGATGTGGCCCTGCTGTGTGCATTCACTTCTTAGTATCTGTCACTATGGGTGGGTTTGTGTCAAAGGCACTGAGGTTGATAAGGCAAGCGGCCCCCTTGTCCTCGGTACACTGCTGTTTTGTGGGGAGCCTGCTGCACTGCTGCTCATCCCCTGGTTGTTTGCAGCCCAGGTGGCGTGCACGCCCCATGCTGGTGCTCTGTGCTGGGGTTTCTCTACGTGGCCCATGCATGCTGGGCCGGGCTGCAGAAATGGCCTTCGTGAGGTGACTCGGGCAGAAAGATCCAGGCCTGCCACATGGCCTGTGAGCAGCACGCCTGAGAATAGACAGGTGGGAGTCTCGGCTGGTCGCTGAGAGTGATCTCCTGCACAGGCCAGGGTCCCCACTGGCAGAAGGGGCCACATTTAGCCATCAGCATTCAGCACCCCACTGTGCTTGGCAGGACCGAGACAAAGGGACCACGTCTGCGGGATTTGCCGCCTTGACGATCGTTGGACTCCACTCCTCAGATCTCAGTCTGAGCAGCCAGGGCTACAGGCATGGGCCCCAGTGCCCAGCCAAAAGTGCTTTTCTTAAAAGTGAGTTTTAATGAAGTACCAAGAAAAGCACCTGGTCCTGTGCAGCCCAGTAAGTTTTTCAGAGTGAGCACCCAGTGAGCAAGGCCCCCAGGGGCCCTGCCCACCCTCACACAGATTTAGTGCTTGGCTTTGAACATACTGAACGGATTCTTTTTTGGTCAGTTGTGGGTCCTGAACTCTGGGCCTGGGCGCTGTCCCTCAGCTCTTCAGCTCAAGGCTAGCACTCTACCACTTGAGCCACAGCGTCACTTCCAGCTTTTTCTGCTTATGTGGTGCTGAGGAATTGAACCCAGGGCCTCATGCATGTAAGGCAAGCACTCTACCACTGAGCCACCTTCCCATCCCCATCTTTTTCTTTCTTTTTTGCCCTTCCTTCCTTCCTTCCTTCATGTCAGCCCTGGGGCTTGAACTTTGGGCACTGCAGCTTAGTTTTTTTGCTCAGGTTTGACACTCTACCACTTGAATCATAGCTCCACTTTTTTTTGGTCAGTTGAAAGGGTTGAACTCGGCCTGGGCGCTGTCCCTCTGCTCTTCCGCTCAAGGTGAGCACTCTACCTCTTGAGCCACAGCCACTTTCAGTTTTCTGGTGGTTAATTGGAGATCAGAGTCTCACAGACTCTTCTGCCTGGCCTGGCTTTGAACTGCAATCCTTAGAGCTCAGCCTCCTGAGTAGCTAGGATGACAGACGTGAGCCACTGGTGCCCGGCACCACTTCACTTCTGATTGCTGCAGTTCTTTTTTTTTTTTTTTTTTTTTGGTCAGTCATGGGGCTTGAACTCTGGGCTTGGGTGCTGTCCCTGCACTCTTCAGCTCAAGGCGAACTCGCTACCGCTTGAGCCACAGCACCACTTCCAGTTTTCTGGTGGTTTATTGGGGAGAAGTGTCTCACGGACTTTCCTGCCCAGGCTGGCTTTGAACTGTGATCCTCAGATCTCAGACTCCTGAGTAGCTAGGATTACAGGCGTGAAACACCGGCGCCCAGCTAGAGCTGCAGTTCTTACACATGGTGCTGGTGTGCACGTGTCCATGTCTTGAACTTGGTGAGTCTGTCTCAGGCAGAGGGAGGCTGTAGTTCTGTGCCTTTGGGCTTTGGTGTGCTGGTGAGCATCTCCAGTGCCAATGCAGATGGACCTCTGGTGGAGAGAGCTCCATTGCTTGCACGGACTTGGAGAGGGGTTGGGACTGCACTGGTGCCCTCTGAAGGGAAACCTGTGTGTTCACCTACCTGACTGCGTTCGGGGAGGGGGCATTGTCATTCTGAGGACGAGCCCCTGGATGGCCTGCTTTGTCAGCCTTGACCCTCAGCCCTGCAGGGCATGCTCCTCTTCCCGGCCATGCCTCGGGCTGCCTGGCTCGGTAGGGCTACTACCGCATACAGTGTTGTGAGGTGTAAACGTTAAAGTGACTCAGGACGCACTGTGGCTGTGTACTCCGCTCTGCATCCTCAGCCTGTGGCGCTATTGGACACATAGATGTTTGCTGTGACTGTCAGGTGGTGGCCCAGTAGAGGGGGCCCAGTGACGTCAGGTGGCACTGTGCTTGTGGGAAGGCTATTCTGTACACAGCCCAAAGGAGCTGAAAACTTGGGTACCCACAGCATTATATGTGTATTTGTGTGTGTGTGTGCACGCGTGCGTGCACGTGCGTGTGCTCGCTGTATATAGACTTCTGACTGAGTGGACCATGCCAGTTTTTTTTAAGACTCCATGGGACTGATGACAATTGAAAAGCCTGTTGGGGATGCAGATCTAAACGCGCTTATTTCTTGTGGCTTTAATTTTCGTCAGGGGATGTACCTTTTTATAGAAGTGTTTCCCACTTTAGTTACAAAGCACCGCGGCCCTGGCTGTTGTCATGGCTCATTGTTTGAGCCCTGGTGCCTGACCCACCTGCAGATGATGCAGCGGGGTTCCGCGGAGGTGTGGGCCCGGGCGCCACAGCCCGCCAGCTGCTGTCATGACCCGCCCCGTGAAATGCCTGGGGTGCCCTGTGTCTGCTTGATAGTGGCTCTGCTGTGAAGTGCCCTGCTTTGCTTGTTGGAGGAGAGCCTCTTCCCCAGGCTGCTCTAAAGCAGGGCTGGGCCTGGGAAGTCGTGAGTATGTGACGGGACAGACATGGCCACCTCTTGCTGGCTCTTGTGGGCTGCCCGCCCGTGACGGCGTGCGCCAGACGGACACTGGTGCCTCGTGACAGGGACGTAGCACCCCAGGCGCAGAGGGGGTGGGCCTCTGGCCCAGGGTGACACTGCCCTCCTGTCCCAGTGCTTGTGTGTATTGTATGCGGCTTGTCACAGTGTGAGGCTGATCACCCACTCACCTGAGGCGTGAAGCCCGCTTGCCAGGAGGGCTCCCCCCCCCCCCCCCCCATGCAGCACGCATAGCCATGGCCCATGTGGCAGGCAGTTCCTGTTGAGCCTGCCGCCAGGACACAGCATGCAGTGCCAGGACCCTCTCTCCAGGCACTGTCAACGCCTGCTGCTCTGATCATGAGTATCGGCAGCAGGATGTTTGGGAACAGTGTGAACCTAGGGGTGAAAGCAAGGACATTTGTTAAATGCATAGCACGCAAAACCATCTTTGTGTACTAAACCTCATTTCCTTTATGGGAGGTGTGTGAACACAGGATGGAGGAGGAAGAACTCAAGACCAGCTGCTCTCGATGGTGGAATCAGAGGGCTGAGTAAAGTGCAGTATTGCAGCAAGCGTGTATGTGCATGGGTGTATATGTGCGTGTGTGTGCGTATGCTGGAACACATGGGTGTTGGAGCGGAACCTCTAGTATTGGCTGCTGGCTGGCTTTCTGCAACAGTGTGGAGGTTGTTTTGAATGAATTTGAAGGGAACAGTTGAGCATTTGAGACGAGTGGGCTGGTTCTTTTTTTGTTGTTGTTGGTCGTGGGCCTTGAACTCTGGGCCTGGGCGCTGTCCCTGCGCTCTTCAGCTCAAGGCGAGGCTCTACCATTTGAGCTACAGCGCCACTTCCGGTTTTCTGGTGGTTTATTGGAGATGAGTTTCATGGAGTTTCCTGCTCGGGCTGGCTTTGAAGCAAGATCATTAGATCTCGGCCTCCTGAGTAGCTAGGATGACAGGCGTGAGCCACCAGTGCCCGGCAAGTGGGCTGGTTCTGAGATGAGGGAAGGTGCTGGTGGGCACCCTGGTGGTGTGTGTGAGTGACTCGGTGGCTTGTTGGTAAGGGGTGGCTATAGGGACTGGCTGGCCCATTGTGCCTTGGACTTGAAAGTTCTTTTTTTTGTTTGTTTGTTTGTTTGTTTTTGGGTCCGGTCGTGGGGCCTGAACTCTGGGCCTGGGCGCTGTCCCTCAGCTCTTCAGCTCAAGGCTAGCGCTCTACCACTTGAGCCACAGCGCCATTTCCGGCTTTTTTCTTTTTGCTTATGTGGTGCTGAGGAATCGAACCCAGGGCCTCAGGCATGCAAGGCAAGCGCTCTACCACTGAGCCATCTTCCCAGCCCCATGGACTTGAAAGTTCTAAGTGTCGATGCGTTTGGGAGGGTACTTGCCATTTGTGGCACTTTGCATAAAACCCTGCACATGGCTGTGGGGGAAAGCTGCATGGCATGCACAGAGTCCATGAACTCTGCACTGTAAGTGGGTACCACATCACGTGAGATCCCATTTGGACCCACCCTTTGCCGCCTGAAGTGGGTGAGATTCTTGTGGAGCAGGTAAGGGCTCCATCCCTGCGGAAGCTGGCCATCCCCAAGGGGTGCTGGCTCAGCTGGGGTCAGCCTCTGGGGCCAGCAGCCTGCGTCCCTCAGGCCCTGGGTGCAGACCCCTAGCCCTGCCTCAGCCCAGCTCAGCTGTGCTGTCCCCACGCTGGGTGACGGCGCCTCTCTCGGGCCTGTCCTCCTCATCCTGCCCTGTCCTACCCGCTCCACTCATTCCCTCTCCCTGATGGTGTTCACCGGAGAAAACTTGGGAAACACGGAAGAGAGACGATAATAGAACCACTCAAAAGCCACGGGAATCTTATGTAATACTGTGTTTTGTAACCTGCCATTTTACTTACTATTTTCTGAGCGGTTTTTCCATGACATTAAGTATCTTAATTTAGTTGTTAAAAATCTTTGCTTTGCAATTCTTCGATGACTGGAAAGTTGGTTATATTTAGGTTCCTTTTTATTTTTCGGTCAGTCATGGGGCTTGAATTCGGGGGCTGAGTGCTGTCCTTGAGCTCTTCTGCTCAAGGCTCTACCACTTTAAGCCACAGCTCTACTTCTGGTTTGCTGGTGGTTAATTGAGGATAAGTCTCACAGGTTTTCCTGCCCAGGCTGTGGGAACCGCCTTCCTCAGATCTCAGCCTCCTGAGTGACTAGGATTATAGGCGTGCCACAAGTGCCTGGCTTAGGTCCCCCCACTTTTTTTTTTGTCGGTTGTGGGGCCTGGGCGCTGTCCCTCAGCTCTTCAGTTCAAGGCTAGTGCTCTACTACTTGAGCCACAGTGACACTTCTGGCTTTTTCTGCTTATATGGTACTGAGGAATTGAACCCAAGGCCTCATGCATGCAAGGCAAGCACTCTACCACTGAGCCACCTTCCCAGCCCTCCTATTATTTTTATGGTTTTAAATGTATCTTTTTTTTCCCCATGCTGTTTTTTTGGTTTTGTTTTGTTTTTTAAATTATCGTTTATTTTTAATCTCCCCATTGTTTGTGTCTGTGCGTGACCTTGGCACTGTCCCCCAGCATTTTGGCTCAAGGGTAGTGCTCTGCCAGTTGAACCACAGCTCCACTTCCAACTTTTTGGTAGTTCAGTGGAGATAAGAGTCTCACAGACTTTCCTGCCCGGGCTGGCTTTGAACTGTGATCCTCAGATCTCAGCCTTCTGAGTAGCTAGGATTACAGGCGTGAGCCACCAGCACCTGGCTCTTGACTGGTTTCATATCTACTTTGTTGGAATGAAGGAATATTGTAACTTTTTTCCTTCTTCTGCACTTTAGATCTACAGGAGGCCCTTCCGGTAGGAGTGGCCATCGGATGGTGGCCTGGAAGAGACAGCTAGTTCTTTTTGGTGGCTTCCATGAGAGTACAAGGTTGGTACCAGAGCAAAAATTGTTTTTTCTGACATATTTGGGGTGGACTTTCTATAGCTAAACTCTTCTGAATTCACCTGGAAATTCTGTGTTCAGGGCAGAGAGTAAGAGCAGCACAACCTTTCTCAGTGGCTGTGAACTTAGAGCTTTCGTAAAGTTTCACCGTGATTTTAACTATTATTTAGGAAGTATTTTGGACACAGAGAGGTAATAACACTGTGTTAAATCAGTTTGACTCTTTTTTGGGAAGAGGGGTCCTGTCCTGGGCTTGAACTCAGGGCCTGGGCACTGTTCCTGAGCCTCTTTGTGCTTAAGGCTAGTGCTCTACCATTTGAGCCACAGTGCTACTTCAGCTTTTTCTGAATAGTTATTGGAGATAAGAATCTTCATGGACTTTCTGCCAGGGCTGGCTTTGGACCGTAATCCTCAGATCTCAACCTCTTGAGTAGCAGTGTACAGGTGTGAGTCATCGTCGCCTGGCCAGTTTAACTTTTTTTTTTTTTTTTTGCCAGTCCTGGGGCTTCACCTCAAGGTTGGGCACTGTCCCTGAGCTTCTTTTGTTCAAGGCTAGCTTTACCACTAGAGTCACAGTGCCACTTCCAGCCTTTATTTGTTTATGTGATGCTGAGGAATCGAACCTAGGGCTTCATGTATGCTAGGCAAGCACTCTACCACTGAGCCACCTTCTCAGCCTTAGTTTGATTTTTTTTTTTTTTTTTTTTTTTGGTCATGGAGCTTGACCTCTGGTCCTGGGCACTGTCCCTCAGCTTTTCAGCTCAAAGCAAGTGTTCTACTGCTTGAGCCACAGCCCCACTCCTGGTTTTCTGGTGGTTAATTGGAGATAAGAGTCTCAGGTACTTTCTTGCCTGGGCTGGCTTTGAACCGCAAACCTCAGATCTCAGCCTCCTGAGTAGCTAGGATTATAGGGTTAAGCCACTGGCACCCGGCCAAATTTTTGAACTTCCTTGGGAGTAGCTGCTGTTTACCTTAATGAAAAATACACTCTCTTTGCTGGAAGTCTGCATTGTGGGGTCTAGGTGGCAGCCATTGGCTCATGTGTGTCCCTTCCTACACTCTCTCAGTGTAGGAAGGGCAGATGGCACTGTGCACAGCTGTTCCTGCTTCAAATCCTTACTGAGGAGGTAGGGTCTGCAGAGCAGAGGCTGCAGCTGCTCTGCAGGCTTGGAGAATGGTGGGCTCTTCAGTGTTGGTCTACAGCTGGGTCTTTTGTCTGCAGAGCTGGGCTTGTGCTTACCGTCTCCCGTTCCTTTTCTGCATCCCAGTCTGTGCTGAGTCCCCGGGCCCGTGCGTCCACAGGTGCTGAGCAGGGCGGGCCGGAGGGCCTGTGTGGCTTCGCTTGGTGCCTCCTGACCGCAAGGAGGTTTTGTGGGGTGCTCTGCCCCCTCGTTCACGCATGACAGTCAGTCACAGTGTTTCCACAGTCTGGCTCACTGTGATCGTAAAGTTACACACAGAGTAGCCCAATGTAATAATTAATTAATTGTGATTTTGCCAGTGAGTAAGTGGCTGTGCTTCTGTGTGCTAGGATTATTTTTAGTTTTCAAACCAGTGTTTGCAGTCTTTCATTTAAATTTAGCCTCTTAATTAAGATGAGAACCTCATAGTGCAGAACATGTTAACTCAGGTGCACTAGTTTAACACCCTGGCCTTTCCCCAACATCCTCTTGTGGCGTGTGTCCCTTTCCTGATGTCCTGTCGGCGGAGGTGTGTCCCTTTCCTGATGTCCTCTCAGGGAGGCACGTGTCCCTTTGCAGGGACTACATCTACTACAACGACGTGTACACCTTCAGCCTGGACTCGTTCACCTGGAGCAAGCTGTCCCCGTCAGGACCCGGGCCCACGCCCAGGTCAGGCTGCCTGATGACCATCACTCCCCAGGGCAGCATAGCCATCTACGGGGGCTACTCAAAGCAGGTGAGACCTCATGTGTAGGAACAGTTGAGACTTCTGTCCCGGCGGGGGAGTTGGCCGGGGATGCTGGCCTCCAGCGAGAGGACACGCGAGTGTAATGGAGTGACACGTGGGCAGAGGTAGTTTGGGCCTGTTGCTCCTGTGTTTGGCCCCTCTCCTCTTGAGCAGGGTGAGCTGTCTTGTGGTGGTGTCCATCATAGGATGTGCTGTTGCTTGCTACCTTTTCTCCTGCTCATGGGCTTTTTCCTTTCTGTAAGAAGGCTGCCGACCGAGGGGTGGGAGACAGAAGCTTGGGTGGCTGGACCCCCTCCCCTCCCCCCCCCCCCCCCCCCCCCGGCTGCCTGCAGTCCCCACAGCGGCTCTATGGAGAGCACGCTCCCGTTCCAGTGGGCCTGGCCAGGGCTGATGGGTTTTTTAATGGGCCTGTGGTCATTCGGGTGGGTCTGCAGCAGGTCAGAGCCGCTGGGACAGAGCTCGACACAGAGCTGAGCTTGTTTCAGAAGCAGCCCTGTTACAGAACAGAGGGCAGCCATAACGAGGGGCAGTCTTACGCACGCGTCTCCTTTCCCCGTTCCAGAGAGTCAAGAAGGACGTGGACAGAGGCACCCAGCACTCAGACATGTTTCTGCTAAAGTCTGAGGGAGGAGAAGGTAGGGTGCTGGCGTGGCTGGGCTGGGAGCCGTGGGTGGGAAAAGCCGAGGAAAAGCTGTGGGTGTCCTGGGAGTGGGAGCCAGTGGTGAGTGCCTGGGTCCTGCCCGGCAGCTGCTCCGCTCTACCCGAGCGGGCCCAGCCCAAGCAAGTGCCTGACCTGACTCGCCCCGCACCCAGCCAGAGCCAAGCCAGAGCCTGAGCCACTCCGCCGCTCCTGCGTGCCCCAGCGCACTGTGACGCGTTGCTCATCAGTGTGGTCTCCTCCCCCTGGACTGGGGACTGCGTGTCTGGGCAGAGGCATTGTGCGCATGTCTGTGGTCTCCCTCCCCCTGGACTGGGGACTGCTGCTTTGCCACCATTTGTTGACGAGGGTGTGAGTGGTACTGGGGTGTCGCGGGTGTGAATCCTGACCTGGGAAGCAAGGGAGGGTGGCGCAGGGCGCGGGGCAGAGCCCCGGGGAGCCAGGACATGTGGAAGGAGGCGGTGCACGGCAGCTCTGGCTCTGCTCTAGAGCCCTCCGAGCTCCCACCACGCACTGTTGGGCCGCGGCACTGCGCGCTGGCGGCTGTGAGGACATTGGCTGCTCTGGCAGAGATGGGCTCGTGTCCAGTCCCCCAGTTCACTCCCCAGGAAACCGGACCTGGGCTGGCCTGCGTTGTGCTCAGCTCCTCTGCCCGGGGCCGTCCTGTCAGGAGCCATGCCCTGGCGGTGCTCACACGCAGCCGAAGCCAGACTTGTTCTTTGTTCTGTGCCCTCGTGACCGGCGCGGGGCCCAGCCTGGCCCTCATGGGCACAGGGCCCTCCTCCCTACCCACTGGGATGTTTGCCATTCTTTTTAATTTTTTTTGGTCCTGTCTTGGGGCCTGAACTCTGGGCCTGGGCGCTTCCCTCAGCTCTTCCGCTCAAGGCGAGCACTCTGTGAGCCACAGCGCCACTTCTGGCTTTTTTTTGTTTGTTTGTTTGCCATTCTTTTCTAAGGTCTATTGAGGGGAGATGCTGCTGCCACTGCCTCCTCCTTCCCTACCGCCCCCTCCTCTTCCCCTCCCCCTCCTCCTCCTCCTCCTCTTCCTCCTCCTCTTGTAGTGAGAAGACACTCCCCACACCGGGCCACATAATGAGTGCTGTCACACGAATCACTAAGAAAGAATGGGAAATGGCCCTTGGAAGGAGAGGTGGGGTCTGCTGTGCAGCAGATCAGGGTGGCCTGCACAGGTGTCGTTCTGGCGTGGACTTCAGCTCCTGTGGAAGGCAGGCCCTGTTTTGGCCCCTGGGCTGCTGGTGGGAAGCAAGCCAGGCAGAGGGGAATGCAGCCCGTGTGAGGTTGTACCAGTGCCACCTAGTGTCCCTTGAGAGGTTGTGCCTACACCTGCTAGTGTGGGCACCACGATCCCCCTGGCTGGTCTCCTTGGCCTTGCTGTTGTGGCCTGCCTGGCCCCGGAAACAAGGGCGTCTGGGACCGTGAACAGTCCCAGTGCTGCAGCTAGGTGTAACCTAGGCAGAGGAGGAAGCGGGGCGTGGCGGGGCCTGGCCTGGTGGGCTCAGTGCAGCTTGATGTTGCGCTTTCTGTTGAGGGCAGAGCAGGCGCTTGGTGGTTTCTGTTTCTTACCACCATGCGTCCAGAGGGCCCCGGCACTCAGCGAGGCCTTGGCTGGCGTTCGCGTCGTCTCGAGTCTCACCCTTGCTCTCGTTCTCCACTGACAGGCAAATGGGTATGGACCCGGATTAACCCCTCAGGGGTCAAACCCACCCCAAGGTCTGGCTTCTCAGTGGCTGTAGCCCCAAATCAGCAGACGCTGCTCTTTGGGGGCGTCTGTGATGAGGAAGAAGAAGAAAGCCTGGACGGCATGTTCTTCAATGATCTGTACTTCTTTGATGCCACCAGGAACCGCTGGTTTGCGGGGCAGCTGAAGGTACCCGAGGGGCTGTGCCACAGACAGGGCTGGCAGGGTGGGGCTTTGGCAAGGCCGCTCACAGAGGTGCCTGCGCGCGCTGCTGCTTCCCTGGTGAGGTGCTGGGCCCATGCGGTGCCGGGCCAGTCCTGCCCCTGGGAGGACCTGGGCTGGTCCATAGCAGGTGCTGGGTGGCCCCAGAGTTGGATCCAGGAGTACACAGGCCACTCTGACAAGGCCGTGCCTCTGCTCCGCGGTAGGTTGGAGTCTTTGAGCTCATCTCTGGCTTTCTGTCATCCCCTTCGCTGTCCTCATCTTCCCGGCGGCCTGGCACAGGTGGAGGAGCAGGCTGGCCCGGGAGGGACGCCTCGGCCGCCTAGGGTTTACACAGGTGCACAATGTGAGCTAATGCGGTCTTCAGCACAAGGTGTCACCTCTGAGGGGTATTTGGGAGAAATCAGCCACATGTGGCTCCCGTGGCCGCACAGCTGCTGTGAAGGGCTGAGCTGCGCAGGGCCACACAGGCGTCTCTGCTGTGGCTTCTCGGCGTGTGGGGTGGGTGGTGCCACAGTTCTGTACTGCTCTGTAAGATGGGGCAGGTTCCATGAAGGGGTGTGCGCCATGATATGCGCGGAGGTCAGGAACAAGGCGGGCTTGGTGTCTGGAGCACGGAGTGGATGGAATATAACAAGGCAGCCACCATGCGGAGAGTATCCTGTAAGGAGGAGGCAGGCCAGGAAGGGGCGGCTGACTGTCCTGCAGGAGGCCCGGCAGATGGCGTGCAGCCCGTGTGGACAGGGTGGCCTGGCGGCCTGCCTGGCGTTCTTGAAGCCATTGGCTGCCAGCCCTGTCTCTCAGCGCTTGGGCGGATTTTTCAAGACAGGCCTCGGGCTCAAGGAGCTGTGGTGCTGCGGTGCTGTGTGCCAGCCCGGCCTTGTCCTGGCTAGCTGCCCGCAGCCCTGCCTGCGTGGATGCAGGGTGAGCTCCAGAGCAGCACTGAAGGAGGTCATGCGGGTGCGCGCGCATCTGTCCGGAGCCCATGGTCTGGCTCCTGTCCCCACAGCCCTGCGAGTTAGGGCAGCGCGGGCCTCCGCCCGCAGTGCAGCTTCCCCATGCTCGCCTCCTGTGAATAGGGCCCCAAGGCAGAGAAGAAGAAACGCAGGCGGGGTAAAGCAGAGGAGTGCGGAGCTGGCAGTGAGCAAGAGCCTGGGCCCGCTGGGGCCCCAGAGCCCGTAGAGGTGGTGAAAGAGGTGGTGGCCGAGGACGGGACCGTGGTGACCATCAAACAGGTGCTCACGTCCTCGGGCCTGGGTGCACGGCCTCCACCCGAGGCTGAGGCTGAGGACGGCGCCTCCGAGCCCGGCTGCCCCTCCGTGGAGCCGTGTCCACGCTCCAGTGCCATGCTGGCCGTCCGGCACGGGCTGCTCTACGTCTACGGCGGCATGTTTGAAGCCGGTGACCGCCAGGTGACCCTCAGCGACCTCCACTGCCTTGACCTCCACAAGATGGATGCATGGAAGACCTTGGTGGATATGGACCCAGGTGAGTGGTCCCCGGGGTGGTGCCCTCCCTGTCCCCAGCCATTGGGGCCGCAGGCAGGCAGCCAGGCAGGTCGGCAGGCAGGCAGGCTGGCTCTCACAGACCTGGGCTCAGGACCTGGGGTGGAGGGTGGCCGGCGCTGCATTCGCAACGCGGAGGCCGTCTGTGGCACCTGCGCCTTCCCATCGTTCCTGTGTCCTCCTTGCTGCTTGAGTCCCGTGCCTCCACTTTGCCTCTTTGACCACCTTTCTAAGGCCTTAGACTAACATGGGAACAGAAGCCGCCACCCCCAGGCACAGATCCGTTATCTCCAGGACCGGCGGCGGGGGAGTGGCCGGGGTGGCATCGCCAGGACTGCCTGCGCGGCAGAGCGGCTGTCCGCCTGGGGTTGGATCTGTCCGGGAGGCTCGGGGACACTGGGGGATGCTGGGCTGAGGCAGAGCTGAGAGCCCTGACACGCGGCTCCCCAGGCTGAAGCCCTGTTCATTTTGCACGGGCAGAAACGCAGGAGTGGCTGGAGGAGAGCGACTCGGAGGAGGACAGCAGCTCCAGCGAGGGCGCGGCCGCGGGGGACGAGGACAGCGGGGAGGACGAGGCAGGTGAGCTCCGCCCGTGTGACCCCGTCCCGCAGGTGTGCTCTTGAGGTGGTGTGGACAAGACGCAGGTGCAGCACTGCTGTGCCCGGAGGCGCTCAGCGCTGTCCTGGGCAGCTGCCCTGACTCAGCCTGCCCCTCTCTTGTTCCCCTTCTCCTGGACGAGAAGACTGACACTCGCTGCCTGCGCTTGGGGACAGTAGGTGGAGCGCGCCTGGCCTAGCGGGACTGGCTGGTTCTCGCCAGGGCCACGCAGGCCTGGTGCACACAGGAAGGCGCTGGAGTAGGCCCGAGACTGAAGGCCACCTGAACGGCAGGAAGTTGAGTTCCACGGGTCTCATGGGTGGCAGGTGTACCCCGGTCTCCCCTGTGGCGGGCATCTTCCCGCAGCCTGAGTGTGTCACGAGGCTGGTGAGCCAGGCCGTGTGGGTGGAGACAGGACGCTGGAGACCCTGGATGCACCCGTGGCTTCAATAAACAGCACCCCAACCCCCTGTGGGGGCTCTCCTTCTACAAGACTTGTGTTCTGATGACGGCATAATCAGATGGGGCGCTCTGTGCCTGACGGTACCAGAGGCAGCCACAGTTCGCACACATGCGGGGCTCTTGGGCATCTTTTAAAGAGCATCTATGCAGCCAGGTGCTGTATCCGTACCTCTCACCTTGGCTGCTCTGGAGGCTGACCCGAGGTCAAAAAAAGCCAGCTTGTGCTGAAAAGTTCAGGAGACGCCACCCAGTACTAACCTACAAAAAGCCAGGCTGGAGGCGTGGTCCCCGTCACCAGCCACAAGCAGGTGTAGGGCCCTGAGTTCAAGCTCTGGAGCACAGAGCCATCTTTCTGCTGGCGGGCTTTGCTGTGTAAAGTCCGGGTGCTCGAGTACCTGCCTGTTCTGTCACAGCTCAGGAGGCAGCATGCCCGTCCTCACTTGTAAAATGACAGGAAGGAAGCCAGGAGACCGGAGCCCCTCCCTCCATGTCACCTGCAATGGCCCTTGGCCCTTGACCAAGGGTCTCAGCTCCTGGTGTCCGAATACACCTGTCTACTCCAAGATGAACAGCAGACCGTCGGTTCTGCCTGTGGTGTCCGAATACACCTGTCTACTCCAAGATGAACAGCAGACCGTCGGTTCTGCCTGTGGTGTCTGAATACACCTGTCTACTCCAAGATGAACAGCAGACCGTCGGTTCTGCCTGTGGTGTCTGAATACACCTGTCTACTCCAAGATGAACAGCAGACCGTCGGTTCTGCCTGTTGCCAGCTGGTTGTCTTTTTGTCAGTATTGGGGCTTGAGCTCAGGGCTGCACAGTCTTGCTCTGCTTTTTCCCTCACGGGTGGTGCCACGTGTCCACTTCCAGATGCTTTTGTTTTCTTCCACCTCTCCTAGTTAATTGGAAATAGTCTCTCAGATGTGTCTGTCCCTGGCTTCAAACTGCAGATCTTAGCTCTCAGCCTCCTGACTGGCCAGAAGCATAGCGTTGGCCCATAGACTATTTTATTTGTATGGCCTGGGTGGAGGTAGAGCTTTGGAGTCACACTTTTGTTTTAAATACCGTAAACCACGAGAATATAGGATTTGTGGTTTTCTGCAGGGTAACGTCATCCCAGAGTTAACAAAAAGATGGGTGTCGCTGGCAGAGCGGGACTCAGGCCCAGAACTCCCGTGGCGAGGAGGCCGTGCCACACTGCACCGCACCGCACCGCACCGCACGGGCCTCGCTCCCCTAGCTGCCCCGTCTCAGTGCTGGGTCAGCCTAAGGAAACCCAGGTCCCCCATGCAGAAGTGCGGGGCCCGCCAGGCTACACCGCAGCCGCTGTCCACACAGCGGGAAGCTCTGTCCTCAGTATGGGGACCAGGCTGTTCACAGAACCCTCATGGACTTCAAAGCTGCCCAGGAACAAGACTCAGGCTGGGGTGCAGCTCAGCAGTGGAGAGCACACCTGGCCCACATGAGTCCCCCCCCCCCCCCCGCCCGCCATGACAGCAAACAACCTGCAGGTGCATCCTGGAGCTGCCTCCCTGTCCGTCCCAGTCAGAGCCACCATGTGCCTGCTATACTAGACCGGTGCTGGGGGAGGCCCTGGGCTGTGCCCACACAGGCTGGAGTAGGCCCTCAGCATGGCCAGTGGCAGCTGTGGTTGATCACCTCTGTGCGTGTGCACAGTATATGGAGACCAAAGGTTCCAGTTCAGGCCTAGCGGATTTTTGTGGTCTGCTGGGTGCAGGTCATTTGGGGCCTTTTTCCAACGTGCTGGACTGAGCTGGTTGGAGAATCCAGCTGGTTCTAGGCAGGAGACCCTCTTCCCTCTCCTCTTCCTTTCCCTCCTCCCCTCCTCCTCTCCTTGGCTCTGCACCGTTGCCCTCCGGATGCAGATCCCTGTCCCACGCAAGCCTGGAGGTAGCCCGTGAATGCCGCTGTCCATCGGGAAATGCACAGGCCTGTGGCTGTCCCACTGGGGACTGTGTGGTGCGCCGAGTGGCAGAGACAGATCCTGTCTTCATCCTGAACTTCTGAGGCAGAAGGCAAGAAACGCTGGAAGAACACCTGTGCAGAGTGAAGGGCGCGCTGCATCGGGCAGAGCAAGCTGCTCTCAGCCGCCGTCTCACAGAGCGTTTTGTTGTGTGGTGGAGTAGAGCACGCGAGCGTGCCTTGAAGAGTTGGAGCAGACACGCTGTCCTGGACGGACCTGTGGCTGCAGAGCAGCCCAGACACCCACACTGCTAGAGCCTGGGACCCGCGGGGCCAGACGGAGCAGTGCACCCAGAGGACCCATTCTGGGGTAACTTAGAGTGGTAGGAAGTTGCTGAACGTCAATCAAACCCGGACTCGAGAAGGGCGAGCCCCAGAACGCCCCCCCCCCCCCCCAGATGGCCACAGTGCTCCAGGCTTGGGACCTGAGCGCGGCAGGCTCCCAGCGCCCTTCAGGCTTCATGTGCCTCGAGCGGCAGGCGTGGATCAGTCCACACTGCACCGGTTTGCAGATGCACAGAAACACGTGGCGTTAGAGCTGAGGCGTCTAGGGCCTAGTGTGTGTGGGCAAGCCTACTCCACCACCCGTGTCCACGCCACGCCCTGCGCAGGGAACAAGCGGGCAAGTGTCCCGCGCCCGTCACTGGCTTCACCTCCAGATTCCTGTGTGCTATGGATGCCAAAACTTCAAACCCAGAAGCACAGGTAAGAATTGTCCAGGTGCCTTAAACGATCGAAGCATGTGCTGCACACTACCTAACCTTCAGAAGGCACAAGGGAGCCAGCAGCCCAGGCACCAGCTCCTGCCTGGGGGCGGGACACACAGGTTCCACAGACGGCAGGCACTGGGGAAGTCACTCGGTTCCTCTGCTCTGCATTTCCGGTCTAGAGAGCCCAGGACGTGGTTGGGATCAGAGTGGTGCTCATCAGGCTGCTCTGGGTGCCAGTTGAGGCGTGTCACAGCGCCCTGCATGCTGGAGGAGGGCTCGGCTCGGCAGGTAGGAAGGCGTGAGCCGGCCGCAGGGGTGGGCTGCCTCTTGTTTTGTGTTTTTTCCAGTCCTGGGGTTTGAACTCAGGGCCTGGGCACTGTCCCTGAGCTTCTTTTGCTCAAGGCTAGCACTCTACCACTTGAGCCAGGGTGCCACTTCTGGGTTTTTCTGTGTATGTGGTACTGAGGAATCAAACCAGGCATGCTAGGCGAGCACTCTACCACTAAGCCACATTCCTAGCCCAAGGGATGCCTCATTCCTAATGGTGCTTTGTGGAAGCCAGCTGAAGGGTGGCCTTGTAGTGTCGGGCCCCAATGCTCTGCACCTGGGGACCTGACTGTGGGGGGCAGCCCTGCCGTGACTTGGTTTCAGGGTCACCCATGAGAGCCACCTGGGCATGAAGCATACGGATCCTCAGCAGCACGTGCATTTGCACAGAGTTGCAAGTGATGTGCCACATAATTGTGCCATGCCATTCCCACACTGCCCAGCAAATCTGTCGCTGCAGAGTTGCAATTAGGAAATATACTGCAGCATGAATGATTCTCAGAGCTGCAAGGAGCAGGAATCTTTATTTGGTTCACTTCAGGTCTGCAGCAACGACTCGATAAAAAGAATGGAAGAGTAAGATGTACAAAAGACAGACGTCGTCCCCTCAGAAACAGCCCTCGGGAATGCAGTGCCACCTGCTGCGCTTCCCCCACCCCCGGCATGCCCCCAAACCAGCCCAGAGAACAGGCAGAGTATGGATAATGGAAAACAATAAACCGAGTGTAACTGGAACATGCTCTCATCTTCCGTTTATTTCTGGTTAAAAATATAGCAATCCAGTGCAGTGTAGTAAAGAAATCTGCTTGAAAGGTAGCAGAGAAACAGCTAAACAGAAGCAAAGCAAGGCAGAGTCTGTAAGACAGGCTGCACCCAAGAAGACTGACGGGAGGTCACACAAAGGCCCCCGGGCTGACCTCGGGCCAGGCCCCTGGTGGGGCGTCCCGCGAGGCCCTGGGCTGACCCTGGCCAGGCCCAGGCGCCGCAGCAGGGAGAGCTGACCCAGCAGTTCTGGCGTCCCTTGTTCTTTTGTTGGACGGGGAACAGCCCTGTAGAGAAGGCGGAGACATGAGGAACCTGTGTTTGTTGACGGACACAAGTTACGCTGCACATCCAGGAGAGGGGGATATGCAGCCACTTCCAGGGAACCAAGCCACTGGGTTCCGACGTGTGTCCGGGACCAGAGCGCTTGGGGGAAGCACTGAGGCGTCCGGAGGGCTGTGCATATCTGTCAGGGGAGGCTGAGGCAGGCACAGTGCAAAGATGTGAGACCCCATGGAGGCCAGTAACAGTGACAGGTGACGTCCATGGGGCGTCACTGCCAGGGACACGGAAGCCTGAATATACATCCTGCGTACTAAGTGCAAACGCCACATGCTCAGAGCCCAGGCGTGCTTCGCACTGTCCGTGGCCCACGGGCCCGGAGGGGGCACAGCCCCTGGGCCTCGGTGCTCAGGCGGGCTGGGTCGGCCCCTGGATCTGGCGGGAGGATGGCTGACAGGTAAACAATGAGTGGAGCAGAGGGCAGGACTGGAGGCCGCCTCCAGGGAGAGCTGGGACTGGGCGGGTGGGGGCCCGGGGGGAGGGTCGCCTCTGTGTGTGGGGAAGAGAAGTGCTCCTCTTCTCCCCCAAGCTGGCAGCACAGACCCGAAGCAGGAGAAGGCTCCCCGCTGGGCCAGGACACGCTCCTGGTGCCACAGCGGTCTCCACCGCCCGGGGGAAGCAGGGCGTGGGCTCCCTGCCCAGCTCCGGGGTGCCCCCGTGGACAGCTCCGGGCAGCTCCGCCACCACCGCCGCCCACACCCCGCCGGGCAGGCCAGGGCCAGGACCATTTCTTCTCTTCTGCTGCTTGTTTGCGGGGACCCCTTCTCTCCACATCCAGCTGAGGGTCGGTGTGCTGGCCGCCTTCGCCATGCCACACAGCACAGTGCTAGACAAGCAAAGGATTTTGGCTAAAATCCAAAAAACATTACCCAGAAAAAAAGGCAAACTGTGAGTAATACCCAATCGTGTTCTTCTGTGGAAAGACTTGGAAGTGGTGGGGCTTCTGAGCACGCTTCTTCCCCTTTTGTTGTTTTGCTTTCCAAGTCCCCATTTATACACTGTTACCATGGAGACACTCATCAGATGAAAAAGTTAATAAACAAAATGGCGACTCCGATGTTGAGCAGGATCACCATGACGACGAGAATGGGAGCTGAGCCCTGCAACAGACAGGAGAGGTGAGGCTGGTGCCCAAACCCCCGGCCTGTGCCTCCACAGACGCGAGCCGCCCAAACCCCCGGCCCATGCCCCCGCAGACGCCAGCCGCCCAAACCCCCGGCCCGTGCACCCCGCAGACGCCAGCCGCCCAAACCCCCGGCCCGTGCCCCCGCAGACGCCAGCCGCCCAAACCCCCGGCCCGTGCCCCGCAGACACGAGCCGCCCCGCGGGCACCAGGGCCTGGAGGAGGGCTGCTGTGGCTGGCACCCGCAAGCAGGGTGGGAGGGGCCTGCGGCCTCACCATCCGCCGCACTGGCGTCCCGGCACCCTGGGGAAGAGGCCGGGTCCCTAGACACCATAGCTCCTGGCAGAGTGCGGAGACTGGCATCTCAGACTTCCCACCTGGCGCCAGCGGAGGCGGGGCCAGCGTGCTCCCGTGTCCAGCACGGTCCTCCTGGCCCTCTAAACTCACACTGGCCCTGTGGCTTTCTGCTGGCTTCAACCACATTAGACCCTTCCCAGAGCCTTAAGCACCAGACCCCACGCCCGCGGGGATGGGCAGAGGAGAGGATGGCTGAGGCTCCATCCCATGATAGCGCAGCTGCTGGAGGCCGGTGTCGCTGAGCACGGCTCCTGTGCAGCCCCTGCCCCTGCCCTGCGGGTCCCCCCCACACACACACACAAGGCACTGACCAGGCCAGGTTCCTCTCCAGGCCTACCTCACTCACATCAGGAGAGGAGGGAGTTACACAGGCCTGTGCCCAGGCCAGCCACAGGGCTACACCCCGGGAAGAAGCTTCCGGGGTCCCTGACTGCTGTCGAGCTGCCAGGCCATGCTGACCGTGGAGTGGCTGCATGCCCGCCCTGCCTCAACCTGTCAGGGTCAGACTTGAGACATGACAGTCCGGGAAGTCCCACAAAGGGCCTCGGTCTGCTCCCCATCACAAGAGCCAAGTCCTCCCATCGCAAAAGGCTCGCTATGGCAGGCTGAGCAGAAGGACCATGGCCCGGAGGCCCTAGGCGCGGCCTTTAGGAAATGGGATGCGTGCACGCAGGAGCCTGCGCATGCATGCTCAGTGTGACGCTCACGGAGGGACGCATGGCGGCCCGAAAGAACACACCGGTCCAAAACGGACGCGTGAGGAGAAGCCCACAGCTACACACGGGCTACGATGCAGCGGATGCGTGAGGAGAAGCCCACGGCTACACACGGGCTACGATGCAGCGGATGCGTGAGGAGAAGCCCACGGCTACACACGGGCTACGATGCAGCGGGTGCGTGAGGAGAAGCCCACGGCTACACACGGGCTACGATGCAGCGGACGCGTGAGGAGAAGCCCACGGCTACACACGGGCTACGATGCAGCGGGTGCGTGAGGAGAAGCCCACGGCTACACACGGGCTACGATGCAGCGGATGCGTGAGGAGAAGCCCACGTCTACACACGGGCTACGATGCAGCGGTAAAAAGAATAAAGCTCTGGTTCATTCTACAACACATGAACCGGGAATCCTGATGCCACAGTGAGAGGTGCCCCGAGGCGGCAAGGCCTCCTGGAGGTGGAGGGGCATTCACCCGGCACGGCGCTTCCAGTGGTGGGGTGTGGAAGATCGCCCGAGAACTGGGCCGTGCACACGGGACAGGCGAGCTCCCCGGAAAGCCACGGTCTGAGCGTGGAGGCCCCGGCCTCCCCAGGCGGCTCCTGGGCGCTGTGTGCTCCCGCAGGGACAGGGCACCTGAGCTGCGCAGCCGCCGCTCAGCCACCTAAGGCTTGCTCTCACTTCCCTTCCACCAGACCCCTGCAGCATGGGGGCATTCCCGCTTGGGACCAGCAGGTGACATGGCAGCCCTCCATGGACCGCTAGCCTTGAGCACGAAGCGCCCAGGCCCTGCGTGCAAACTCCAGCAGTGGCCAAAAATGCACAGCTAGACTCCAGAGAGCAGAAGCAGGGCCTTACAAGCCAATCCAAACCAGTCAGCAAAACAAGGTCTCGCTGCGCAGCCCAGGCTGGCCTGGAACTTGAGCTCCTCCGGCTCAGCTTCCCAGGGGCTGGGATTACAGACACAGCACCACACCTGACCAGCAGAGGTGCTAACAGACATCCCCAGGGACTCCTCCACACCAGGTGACAAGTGCTACTGCCCCAGCTGTCTTCAGGGTGACATGGCCTGGGGGTGTCTGGCACTCAGGCCTGACTCCTGTGACATCTGGGCCAGGCCAGTCCTGTCGGAGGGCAAGGGAAGAGCACCCAGGGCGCTGGTCGCAGCCGGCACACCTCCTCGGTGGGGGAGAGGCCCTCCCGCAGCGCGGTCCTGAAGTCTCCCTCCTGGGCTCCCTCCCTCGGAGCCTGGAGAGTTCCTGGGTGTCCAGGGCAGGGACCAGGCAGCCAATCGCGGCTGAGAACCTCCGCACTGGGCTGCCACAAAGGCTTCCCTGCCGTTCCTTACACTGGTGCGAAAGAGCCCACACGGCTCACCGAGCTGACCGTAGAACCCTGCCCGCCTGCCATGCTGCCCGCCACAGCAGACCCTAAAATAGCGCCCAGCGCCTCGCGCACCCCTGCCCGCTGCCGGAGCGCGCGCACTGAGCACAGCAGGGCTGTCCCGGCGGGAGCCCCGCAGCTGCTCTGCGGGGCACGGAGGACCAGCCAGCAGCGAGGCTGAGCAGAGGCAGAAAGGGACCTCACAGGGCACAGGCCCTGCGTCCCAGCGGGGGACTCCGGGGGAGGGGAGGGGGGACCACAGCTGCCCGGGCCACCGGGGCGGACGCTGCGCTCTGCTCGGGCAATGGTGATAAACCCACAGAACCAGCGTCCCCACCGCTGTCCTGGCCGGTGCCCCGTGCCGCTGTGCTGTCCACTGACTGCCTCCGCAGACCCGGGCAGCGCCCCGAATGTCCACTGACTGCCTCCGCAGACCCGGGCAGCGCCCCGAATGTCCACTGACTGCCTCCGCAGACCCGGGCAGCGCCCCGAACGTCTCACCCCCAACGTGTGGGGTGCCTTGCTCGCCTCAAGGCTCCGTTCTCCCAGTCCTCCCTGCCCGCTGGCTCGGGGCGGGTGCAGGCTGGGGCCCAGGGAGGCCCCCAGGGTGCTGTCAGGCCAGCCGGGCCCAGGAGCACGCTTCCACCTCCTCCAAAATCCCACCCTGGGGGGAGCAAGGCCAGGCAGAGGATGTCTCCGTGGGCAGCGTCCCGGAGACCGTGCCCCGATGGGCCTGCCAGGACTCTGCCCTGCCGCCGCCGCCCCCCCCCCCCCCCCCCGGGCACAGGCCATGCATTTGTCTCCCTCTGCAGCGCCTCAGCCCCAGGGTCTGCTACAAATAGAAGCACCGCCCGCCCGGTGCTCCTGGGCCAGCACCGCTGGCTCTAATCCGGCTCCAGCCGCCCGGCCCCGGCACCACCTACTACCACCTACCGTGCTGGACTTGAGCTCATCCCCGTTCTCCTCGTCAGACTCGAGCGCGACAGGCAGGGATTTCTGGGGCGGGGAGAAGGTCAGGTCCCAGCGCAGGAGCCGGGGCTCGGGCCGCTCCCCCAGCCGCAGGCTCTCCAGCTTCTGCACCGTGGGCTCCGTGGAGGCCGGCCGCAAGTTCTCCTTATTCTGGGACTTGGGCCTCAGTCTCTGCAGCCCGAAGGCCCGGTCCTCCGGCCGCCGGTCGCCCCCAGCCCCCCGGCTGTGACGCCGCCTCTGGGGGTGCGCCTCCTGTGGACAGGCGTCCATCCGCAGCAGGGGCTTCATCTCCAGCTTGTAGTTGCTCAGCTGCTCCTCGTCGGGCTCGGGCCGCTTGGCGCCCCCCGGGCAGGGGGAAGTCCACGAGAGCGTGGGGGGCGGCTCGGGCCGCCGCTCCCGGGGCCGGGGGTTGCCAGGCTGCTTGTGGCCCACGCCGCGGGCGCGGAAGTCCTCTGCGGGCGGGCCGCCGCGCAGGGCGCCGCCGCGCGCGCCCCGGGAGTCGCCCCAGCTGTTGCGGGCGGGCTCCCCGGCCCGGCCCTCCAGCAGCATCTGGATGTCGCCGCCCCGCTCCTCGTCCACCGAGACCTGCCGGGAGAAGTGAGCCTTGTTCCTGGCGGCGGGCGCGGGCGGAGGGGTGGCGGCGGGGCTGGCGGGGGGGCTGTGCAGGGGGCTGTCGTCGGGGGTGAGGTCGGAGGGGGTGGTGCCCTTGCGGTACAGCTCGGGGCTCTCCTGCGGCAGGGGTGTCCCCGTGGACAGTCCCTCGAGGTCCTCGCAGGAGACCTGGTGCTTCCGCCTCTGGTACTCCAGCCCTTGGAGGAGAGCACACGGGGGTCACTGGCGGGCCCCAAGCCCTCTGCGGGGCTCCCGTCCCCGACCCCGGGGCTCTGAGGCCAACCGGGCAGGGCCCTGACCGAGGGGCGGGCAGCTCCCAGCCGGGCCCCTGGGCTCGCGTTAGCCACCTACAGCGTCCTGAGGCCTGGGGAGCCATCTTGGCAAGACCACAGCCCTCCCTCCTCCCTCCCGCCCTTGGTGGGGGACGGAACCCGGGCAGCTCTATCCCAGGGCTATCCCAGATGGCTCAGCCCCAGGACCCTAGGCCCCGGGCCTCCCTCCCCGGGGCGGGGGGGGGGGGGGTGAGCAGCAGCTGTGAAGACTCCATGGGAAGCCCGCCCCCCCCATGGTGCTTCCTGGACGCCGGGGCCCGTGCCCAGCACTCATCTCCACGCAGTTCACCAGGCCAGCTGCCACACGGGACACACAAAGTCCCTGCACAGGGTCCGGTGCCCGGCCGTGTGCCCAGCGTGCAGGCCTCTGGGAACAGGGAGGGGCACTCTGCCGGACACCCGCAGCCTGGGCCCTGGGCCGAGCCGTCGGCCTCACCCACGGCAGGTCTAGACGCTCACGTGGCCGCCGCGAGTGCGAGGGGCAGGCGTGCGGGCAGCGGCTGACCCCGTCCAGCGGGGCAGACAGCACCAAAGCCTCGTGACCTGGCCTCCCTACACACACCGCACACCACAACACCGCACACCGCCACCGCAACACCGCACACCGCCACCGCACGCCACACACCGCACGCCGCACACCGCATGCCACACAGAGCCACCGCACACCACATACCGCACACCACCACCGCACACTGCCACAGCACACCACACACCACACACCGCACACGACTACCACACACCACATACCACACACCGCACACCACACACCACACTGCCACAGCACATACCACACACCACCACTGCACACTGCACACTGCACACCACACACCACACACCGCAAACCACACACCGCACACTGCCACAGCACACACCACACACCACATACCGCACACGACTACCGCACACCACATACCACACACTGCACACCACACACCACACACTGCCACAGCACACACCACACACCACCACCGCACACTGCACACTGCACACCACACACCACACACCACAAACCACACACCACCACCGCACACCGCACATCACACACCGCACACCACACACCGCCACCGCACACCACACACCACACACCACACACAGCCACTGCACACCACACACAGCCACTGCACACCACCACCACACACCGCACACCACACACAGCCACTGCACACCACACACAGCCACCGCACACCACACACCGCACACTGCACACCACACACCACACACCACACACAGCCACTGCACACCACACACCACACACCGCACACTGCACACCACACACCACACAGCCACTGCACACCGCCACCACACACCGCACACTGCACACTACACACCACACACCGCACACCAAACACAGCCACTGCACACCACACACCACACACCGCACACTGCACACCACACACCACACACCGCACACTGCACACCACACACCACACACCGCACACTGCACACCACACACCACACACAGCCACTGCACACCGCCACCACACACCGCACACCACACACAGCCACCGCACACCACACACCGCACACCGCCACCACACACCGCACACTGCACACCACACACCACACACCGCCACCGCACACCGCCACCACACACCGCACACTGCACACCACACACCGCCACCGCACACCACCACCACACACCGCACACTACACACCACACACCGCACACCGCCACCACACACCGCACACTGCACACCACACACCGCCACCGCACACCGCCACCACACACCGTACACCGCCACCACACACCACACACTGCACACCACACACCACACACAGCCACTGCACACCACACACCACACACCACACACTGCACACTACACACCACACACAGCCACTGCACACCACACACCACACACCGCACACTGCACACCACACACCGCACACTGCACACCACACACCACACACCGCCACTGCACACCGCCACCACACACCGCACACTGCACACCACACACCACACACTGCACACCACACACCACACACTGCCACTGCACACCACACACCACACACCGCCACCACACACCGCACACTGCACACCACACACAGCACACCGCCACTGCACACCACACACCACACACCGCCACCACACACCGCACACTGCACACCACACACAGCACACCGCCACCGCACACCGCACACCACACACTGCACACCACACACAGCCACTGCACACCACACACCGCACACCACACACCGCCACCACACACCGCCACCGCACACCACACACTGCACACCACACACAGCCACTGCACACCGCACACCACACACTGCACACCACACACCGCCACCGCACACCGCCACCGCCACCACACACCGCACACTGCACACCACACACCGCACACTACACACCACACACAGCCACTGCACACCACACACCGCACACCACACACCGCACACCACACACCGCACACCACACACCGCACACCGCACACCACACACCACACACCGCCACCGCACACCACACACCACACACTGCACACCACACACAGCCACTGCACACCACACACCGCCACCGCACACCGCCACCACACACCACACACTGCATACCACACACCGCACACTACACACCACACACTACACACCACACACCACACACCACACACCACACACCACACACCGCCACCACACACCGCACACTGCACACCACACACCACACACAGCCACCGCACACTGCACACCACACACTGCACACCACACACAGCCACTGCACACCACACACAGCCACTGCACACCACACACCGCACACCACACACCGCCACCACACACCGCACACTGCACACCACACACCACACACCGCCACTGCACACCACACACCACACACTGCACACCACACACAGCCACTGCACACCGCACACCACACACTGCACACCACGCACCGCCACCGCACACCGCCACCACACACCGCACACTGCACACCACACACCACACACCGCCACCGCACACCACACACCACACACTGCACACCACACACAGCCACTGCACACCACACACCGCACACCACACACCGCACACCGCACACCACACACCACACACCGCCACCGCACACCACACACTGCACACCACACACAGCCACTGCACACCGCACACCACACACTGCACACCACACACCGCCACCGCACACCGCCACCACACACCGCACACTGCACACCACACACCACACACTGCCACCGCACACCGCACACCACACACTGCACACCACACACAGCCACTGCACACTGCACACCACACACCGCACACCACACACCACACACCGCACACCACACACCGCCACCACACACCGCACACTGCACACCACACACCACACACTGCCACCGCACACTGCACACCACACACCGCCACCACACACTGCACACTGCACACCACACACCACACACCGCCACCGCACACCACACACCACACACTGCACACCACACACAGCCACTGCACACCACACACCACACACCGCACACTGCACACCACACACCGCCACCACACACTGCACACTGCACACCACACACCACACACCGCCACCGCACACCACACACCACACACTGCACATCACACACCGCCACCGCACACTGCACACCACACACTGCACACCACACACAGCCACCGCACACCGCACACCACACACCGCCACCGCACACCGCACACTGCACACTGCACACCACACACCACCACTGCACATCACACACCACCACTGCACACCACACACCGCCACTGCCCGAGGAGCCACTGCTCAGCCCGATTCCAGCAGCACCTTTACCAGAGCATCTGTCTCCCAGGGCTGCAAGAGCCCATCCCAATGTCCTGAGGCCACCTAAGGCCCACAGACCGGGGGCTTAAACAGAATCACTGCTGTCGGTGCCTGGCAGCCAGCGGTCCAAGGTGCAGCTGTGGGCAGGGCTGGTCAGAGGGGACCTGCAGCAGCCCTCCTACCCCGCAGCTTCCGGAAGCCCCGGGCAGCGGCCACACCATACAGCTCTGCCTCAGTCTTCCCACGGAAAGCTGGGCCCCGCCCGCTCCATCTCCAGTCCTCCCCAGCACCGGCCTCTGCCCACGCCACACTCACAGATTCTGGGCTGAGGGACGGAGCTCTGGACCATCACTGACCAGCAGACGGAGCGCTGGACCGCCACTGACCAGCAGACGGAGCGCTGGACCGTCACTGATCAGCAGAACACTGGACCATCACTGACCAGAAGATGGAGCGCTGGACTGCCATTGACCAGCAGACAGAGTGCTGGACCGTCACTGACTAGCAGAGCGCTGGACCGCCACTGGCCAGCAGACAGACCACTGGACCGCCACTGACCAGCAGCACACGCTGGGTCCCTCTCCTTGCACAACTGGGGAAACCGAGGCCCCAAGAGGCGAGGGAGCGGAGCCCTGGTGCTGGAGCGGGCGGGACTCACCATTCTCTCTGTGCTGGAAGGATGGCGAGAACTCCTTGGCAGTGACCCTGGCAATCCGGGCTTCCTCCTGCGCCTTCCGGGCCGCTGCAAGAGCCGCCTCTGCCTTGGCCCTCGAGTGGGAGGTCCTGCGGGGGGAAGAGGGCGGTGAGGGCGGGGGGGGAGGGGGGGGCCGAGGCCGCCAGGTGCTGAGAGGAGGGCGGTGAGGGCGGGGGCGGGGGGGAGCCCCCGAGGCCAGCCAGGTGCTGAGGCCCCTCTTGGGTCGCTCAGGGGCCTGGGCTCAGGGGGGCCGGAGCACCTCTGGCTCCTAGAGCCCTGGAACCTGGTCTGTCCCTCTCTCCCTCCTTTCTTCTCCCCCCTCCTCTCCCTCCCTTCCCTTCCTTCCCGTCCTCCCTTCCCTTCCTCCTTCCTTCCCTTCCTCCTTTCCTCCTTCTCTTCCTCCTTCCCTTCTTCCTCCCTTCCTCCCTCCCTCCTTCCCTTCCCTCCTTTCTTCCTCCTTCCTTCCTTTCCTTCATCCTTCCCTCTCTTCTTCTTTCCTTCCCTCCTTCCCTTCCTCTTTCCTTCCTGCCTCCCTCCCTTTCCTCCTTCCTTCCTCCCTCCTTCCATTCTTTCTTTCCTTTCCTTTTTCCCTCCCTCCCTCCCTCCTTCCATCCTTCCTTCCTCCCTCTTTCCTTTCTGTCTCCCTCCTCCCTCCCTCCCTCCCTCCCTCCCTCCCTTCCTTCCTTGCTTCTCTCCCTCCCTTCCTCCCTCCCTTCCTGTGTCCCTCCCTCCCTGCCTCCCCTCCCTCCTCCTTCTGCAACCCACCAGCCAGCACATCCTCCATGGTGGAGAACCTGTCCTCCCCTGTGCTGCCCATGCTGGGTGGTGTCCCGCCAGGGCCGCCATGCACCCCTGCGTGTGAGCAATGCCACAGACGCGTCCTGACTGCCCAGCGTCCTGCCCGGGCTGGCGCCACAGCCAGCGCCGGTGAGGGCACGGAGCCGCGCCTCTGCAGCCCCGAGCTCCACCCCTGGCTCTGTGCGGCCGCTCCGTCCCCACCCAGCCCCGCGGTGCCCCCCATCCCTGCCAAGCCTGCGGTGCCCCCACCCCAGTCCCTGCCTAGCCTGCGGTGCCCCCCTGCCCCCTGTCCCCCGTCCCCTCTGAGCCCTGCAGTCCCCACCCAGCCCTGTGGTGCCCTCTCCCCCTCCCTGCTAAGCCCTGCAGGGGTGTCCCCCCCCCTCCGTAAACTGAGAGGCAGCGGGGCCTTGACACCGCGGCCCCTGAGGGTTATGAGGCCGTGTTCCCAGCATGGGGCACAGCGTGGCCCAGTCCCGGGGCGGAGGCCTCTCTCCACAGGTCCCCGGTTTGTGGCTCCCAGCACTAGGGCGGTGACCGTGCCCCGCAGGGCCCAGGCCTCCTACCCTGGCAATGCAGGCCAGGCCCGGGAGCACCCGCGGCCTGGGTCTGGGTCGCTGCGGAGGGCAGCAGCCCCAGAGCCCCGGGCTCAGCCCCAGCGAGTGAGAGAGGGCTGGCCTGCGAGCGTTTGGGGACGTGTGGGCCGTCCCCCCCCCAGCAGCCCGGCCCCGCAGAGACTCGCATGTCTCTTTCCAAACCCCAGTGTGGAGACAGCAAGGCGCATGCTGGAGGGACAGGTCTCTGCGCCCTCCCGTGACCGCCCCAACACGTTCTCCCATGACCGCCCTAACGCCCTCCCGTGACCGGCCCAACACACTCTCCCGTGACCGCCCCAACACGCCCTCCCGTGACCGCCCCGACACGCCCTCCCGTGACCGCCCCCACGCCCTCCCGTGACCGCCCCGACACGCCCTCCCGTGACCGCCCCGACACGCCCTCCCGTGACCGCCCCGACACGCCCTCCCGTGACCGCCCCGACGCCCTCCCGTGACCGCCCCAACACACTCTCCCGTGATCGCCCCGACGTCCTCCCGTGACCGCCCCGACGCCCTCCCGTGACCGCCCCGACGCCCTCCCGTGACCATCCCAACACACTCTCCCGTGATCGCCCCGACGTCCTCCCGTGACCGCCCCGACACGCCCTCCCGTGACCGCCCCGACACGCCCTCCCGTGACCGCCCCGACACCCTCCCGTGACCACCCCAACACGCCCTCCCGTGACCGCCCCGACGCCCTCCCGTGACTGCCCCAACGCCCTCCCGTGACCGCCCCGACATGCTCTCCCGTGACCGCCCCGACGCCCTCCCGTGACCGCCCCGACACGCCCTCCCGTGACCGCCCAGACGCCCTCCCGTGACCGCCCCGACACGCCCTCCCGTGACCGCCCCGACGCCCTCCCGTGACCGCCCCGACACGCCCTCCCGTGACCGCCCCCGACGCCCTCCCCGTGACCGCCCCGACACGCCCTCCCCGTGACCGCCCCGACGCCCTCCCGTGACCGCCCCGACACGCCCTCCCCGTGACCGCCCCGACGCCCTCCCGTGACCGCCCCGACACGCCCTCCCGTGACCGCCCCGACGCCCTCCCGTGACCGCCCCGACACGCCCTCCCGTGACCGCCCCGACGCCCTCCCGTGACCGCCCCGACACGCTCTCCCCGTGACCGCCCCGACACGCCCTCCCGTGACCGCCCCGACGCCCTCCCGTGACCGCCCCGACACGCTCTCCCGTGACCGCCCCGACGGTGACCGCCCCGACACGCCCTCCCGTGACCGCCCCGACACGCCCTCCCGTGACCGCCCCGACGCTCTCCCGTGGCCGCCCCGACACGCTCTCCCGTGACCGCCCCGATGCCCTCCCGTGACCGCCCCGACGCCCTCCCGTGACCGCCCCGACGCCCTCCTGTGACTGCCCCGATGCACGTCCACAACACGGAGTGCGCTGTGGAGACGCCTGGCCCACAGGTCCTGTTTTCTCCCAGCCCCGCTTGGGGGAACCCCCACCCCACCAGCCACCCTGAGAGCTGGGCCCACGGATGTAAGTCACACGCTACAATGTAGCACCGAGAGAACACAGAAATGGGGTGAGACAGCCACCTCTCCACACCAGCAGGATCCTGTGGCCCACGGTGCGGTGCATGAGAACCACACCTTCTAGAAGATTCCTAGGGACCCCAGTGGTTGCTATGACAACAAAACAGCGGTGAGGAGGCTGGGGAGAGGAGACCCACTCGGCTTGTTAGCAACCATCACTTGGGAGCCCCACCTGCAGCACTGTGTCCCGGGCTGGGAGCAGGCTGGGAGGTGGGAGGTCGGCCCTCCTCCAGCCCCAGCTCTTGTCCAGCCGGAGCGGCTCCGCACCGCCTCTGCCGGCCCAGGGACATCAGTGGTGCTGCTGCTCAGCACCAGCCTCTGCAGGGGCCTGGGGGCTGTGCAGCCCATAACGGCTCGAGATGCTCCACAAGGCGGCCTTCCCCCACCCCACAAGCCATGTCCCCCCCAGACCACGCGCGCGGGCCCTGCCGAAGGCTGCTTGGCTCTGAGCCCGGGCACCCCGGCCCTCGTCACAGGGTCTGGAAGCTGAGACCCAGCCTGGCCGCTCCAGCCTGAGCACACCACACAGGACCATTACCGCAGCGGGGCGGTCCTCCCCTGGAGGAGGCTTGCCCGGGCGCCTGGCCCACTGCGGCGGGGCCTGCTCCCCCCAGCGCCCCCAGTGCACTGACTGGAGGGTGGGCAGGGAACGCCCCGGCCCACCATGCTCCCCACGTCTCTGCTTAGCAAGAACGCCAGCATTAGTTCACCAACATCATGCGTGTATTTACGTCTGTGTGTTCACACGTATATAAGCAGCCTGTGCCGTGCCAACCCTAAAAAATATAAATCAAGGCAAGTGCGTTAATAGCAAAGAAAACACCCTACCTACGGGCGCCGCGGCTCACGCCTGGCGTCCTAACTCCTCAGAGGGCTGAGATCGGAGGACTGCGGCTCAGAACCAGCCCTGGCAGGAAGGTCTGTGAGCCTTATCTCCAACGAGCCAGCAAAAAGCCAGAAGTGGAGCTGTGGACCAAGTGGTAGAGTGCCAGTCTTGAGCATAAAAAGCTTAGGAACAGAGCCCAGGTCCTGAGTTCAAGCCCCAGGACCTGAAACACACACACAAAACCCCAAACCGAAACACCCCAATGCCTCACGAAGCTGCATTCTACATGAGATTGTCAGGACTTGCCAGGGGCCAAAGGATCTTCCGCTGCCTGGTGGCGCGCCGGTCGCTCTCCACAGCCTTCCGCACACAGGACACCCCTGCTCGCAGGCCTGCCTGACGGCCCCAGCTCAGCCCCCAGCAGAGGTGAGGACCCCGTGAGGCCGCAGCCAGAGCCCCTGGGGAGTGGCCAGCGCCGGGCACCAGGCTCCCGGGCAGCAGCAGGGAGGGCGGGAACCAAAACGCCTTGCGCTTGGCCATCAGAAGCTGGGATGGGCGGGCGGGCGGGCGGGCGGGCAGGCAGGCGGGCAGCGGGCAGGGGGCGGCGGGCAGGAATTCACTGTCCCACGGTGGAGAGGCCCAGGCAGCCTCCTGCAGGGAGCTTGAGGACAGGGAGCCCTCGGGGAGAGCGCCACGGGCGCCTTCATTGATGTGAGGACAGCAAATGGAGACCAGGGATTCTGCTGTAGCACCAGGAGGCTGAGGTGGGAGGATCTCCAGTGTGAGGCTGGACAAGGAGGCTGAGCCGTGTGGAGGCCAGGAACGTGTGTGGGGGACAGGAAGGCTCTGGCGGGCACCGGGCACCCGGGAGCAGGGCTTGGCTGACCTTCTCTCTGGGTGCCAGGGGGGCCTCCCTCAGGACTCAGGAACACCCCTATTTTACAGAGGGCAAGTCCTCGAGCCAGAGAGTTTGCTTGGGACCCCACCAGTTTCTCAGAGTTGACCCAAACCCCATATCTGGCTTGGCGACCTTCCTTCTCCAGTGGTCCCAAGCTGGGGTACACTGGATTCCCTCATGGCCCCTCCTCAGCAGAGGCGGGGTGCTCCACAGATGCCAGCAGCCCAGCCGGGAGGCGCTCGCCACAGGGACTGACCGGGGCCAGACTGTGGGAAAGCCCACAGCCCCCACGTGGCCCCCACACTGGAGAACCAAGGCCCAGGAGAGAAGGGCTCAGGGAGGGGGTGTCAGGGTTAATGGAGGGGAAGCGGGTTTAACAGAAGAGGTGACGGTGAGCAGAAGGGCCCGGGCTGCCTCC